TTTTTTTTTCTTGTCAAACAATTCTTCATTCCATTAAACGATCAAAGAACAAGGGAGGGAATTAAACATCCTCCAGAATTACTACAACATAACTGAACAGCAACAAAGCATAAAACAGATAGATCATCTAAAATGATGGACAGCGAATCCAAAACATGCCTCGGATGCGTCAAGAGGGTCTTCGCGGCAGAGCCGGAGATTCTCACGTTAGTCACTTTACATTGTGACTTTGAAATTCTCGGCATAAAGCACGGGGGTTTGACCACTCTCCATGAGAGGGAAGAAGATATGACCATGTTCAACGAATTGGAAGAAGGTAGAATTGAACTCCTCCACCGGGAGTAAATTACAGGATTGAGAATCCAGAAAACTTTGACCCTCTCATATGTAGATACTTGAATCTAGACAATTGATAAAATGAAGCACTGTGAAGGCGAATTGGTCTCTCTAGGCTCGATTTGGAAGACTTTGATTTTAACAAGCTCTGTAACAATGTGTCTAAATCAACAAGAAAAGCAAGATTTTTGCAGAGATAAATCAGTGGTCTTATACCTGATTTGTAATAACCATCATGATCTGATATTGATGTTGGGCATTTTTCATGGTATGGGCCAGAAGTTTAATCCTATTGGGCCAGAAAGCCCATAACTCATAATGGCCCAGCCCATTAGAATTTTAGGGTTGAGGAGAGGTAGGGAAAGTCTCGAGTAGATGTGGAACAGGGAGAGGGACGGCGGCGGTGAGTGGCCGGAGAAGTGAAGCCACGTCGGAGAAGATGACCGGAACCCGGCAGTTGGCGCTGTGTCAATCTCCTCACCAGAACAAAACCCACAAACGGTGAGAGGAAGATTGATGGAGAGAGCAACCACGGCGGAGTCGTCGGCACCAGATCTGCGCGTGGGAGAGACTCTTGCCAACTGCTGGTAAGGTGCCGTCGGGGAAAAAGACGGAGGCGAGAGAGCGGTGAGTAAGCAGGAGCATTGAAGACATGAAAGCAATTAGAGCGGCTTTGTATACTCATGCGCCAAATCCGGTGGCTCCGGCGGTATCAATAGGTTCACCGGTGCCGGACCAGTATTCGACGGACGGCGAGCAAGGTTGAGCAGGGGTTGAGTTGTCATCGCAGTGGAGTGGAGCGAGGAGAGACAACTCTCGAGGGAAGCTCACGCACACGTCGTCGATGGAGGATGCTAGGGGCACTCGTCGGACGAAGAAGCACATCGATTTTCTCGGGAAGAGTGCCAGGGAGCGTTGGCGACGCTTACCTTTGAGAACTTGATCTTTTTTTATATATAATTTATCTTTTGATGCCCACTTCCATTTCAATTAAGTTATATATATGATCACTTAATATACGTTTGTCATTAATGGTTAAGAATCATGTGATAAAGCATTGATATATTCATATTTTACCTTATTTCAATCACATTTCATTGTGTTTTTATCCCATATTTGCAAATCATTAGGCATTTTTAGGGGCATTTGCATCTCTTTTGTGTTTTTGTAGGTTTGAAGATGGTGAATTTTGAAACGAAATGATTTGGAGGTTAATTGAATGCAAAAGGATGAGAATTCGTCATACACACCCTCTCT